TATACACTCACACACAAGGGCATTTGTGCTTCATTATTTTATATCTTGCCTATAGGCTTTTGTTGTTGTTGATTTAATCTTTTGTTCTTCTCCTACCCAACTTACATTTGTTATCATTTTGGTAGAGAAGCAACACCAATCTTTTTATTGATTTGTAAAAAGGTGTGGATAGCCTCTAAATCCTCATTGTAAGGTTGAAGATAGCCTTAAAATCTTCGGTTGTAAACGGTTGAGATAGCCGTAGTAAAATATCATTTGCTTATTGGCAAGGGTTGTTTGCCAAACCTCGTTTGAGTCTTCTTAGTGAAGCCAAACAAGTTAGTGGAGGTTAAATCCTTGAGGAGGAGCCTCGAGGTACTGGAGTAGGGAGTTCCCGAACCAGTATAAAATCGCCAGTGTCGTATTTTTTTATCCTTTATATCCTTCTTGCTCTTTTTCCGCTACTACTTTGCGCATAAGTTTTTGTTCTCTACGAAAAATTTGCAAACAGCCTAATTCACCCCCCTCTTAGGGTGTAAACCGACTTTCAAGTAAGAGTTCAAAAAAAAATACTTCCTTTTAAGAATATTTCCCCCTGCAATGTTAGAGAAGTGCAAAAAATATCGGAGTAAAAAAATTTTTCTCCACTATCCTTCCTTCCCCCTTTTGGCATTATCAATGATATCCTTCCCCCTTAATCAATGTCGAGATACTGAAGGATAAAAAAAATTTGTAAGAAATTTTCTTAAAAGGAAGAACTTCTAACAAGAATGCCACAAAGGGACAATATGTTCTAAAAGAGAACCATATTGCCAAACCAACAAACAAATACATAATGGCAACATAATCATCCACCAAAAGAGTCATTAACAACAACAATAGAAAATAACAATGTATCATATTAAGTTAAGACAGAAGGAAAACAATCAAAGAGAGTTCGTCGGACGAGCTCCTCCACTAAAGCTGTGACGCGGGCCACGGTAGGAGTGGGATTGCTCAAAACGAGTCATCCTCTCGTTGAGCTGGCGAACGTCATCTCGGATGCACGTGAGAGTATCGAAGATTCTCTTTACCCAAGATGGTTCAGGTGATTCTTCTCTTGGACGAGTCCTGCGTTAACGAGTGACGCGCTCCGTGGCTCGACTTCCTCCAGCACGAGATGACTCAGCTTGAGTCTCGTTTTGCCTCTCTTCTTCGTCTGCGACTATCAGGTCCAGATTTGGTGCAGCATCGCCCTCCTCACGGTACACGATCCGGAAAAACTTGGCTTCAGTGATGAAACAAGTCTTCTTGACCAGCACCTGAGTGTCCCGAGTAAGGTCTATTTTGCAATGAGCAAGGATATGCATGATGGGGATGGAAAAACGGAGATGGGAAAAACGAGTGCCATCACTAAGTGCAACGATAAAGAAGTGAACCCAATCAAATTTGACATTGTTCAACAGGACGTGAAACAAACGAATATCGTCCTTATTGACAACGCCATGGTTCGAATCACGGGGCAACAAAACATAGGAGAAGATGTATTGTTGGACGCGTTAAATTAAAGTGAGATTAATGACACTCGGGTTGCTTGAATTTCTAAACTTGAGGTCACGATGATCTAACCCGAGTTGTCGCCAAATTGCCTCATCTTGGAATGTTTCATCCAAGTTTTCGGTAATATCACCTCAACGAAGGCCAAACAAAGAAGTCAACCCGGCACCGTCAATGAAAACAGTTTTGCCGTCAACATAGGAGATGAGAGATGGCGAGTCTCCCTTAGTGGTACGAAGATTTGCATAAAATTGACGTATAAGATTTGGACAAAAGAATTCATACGTCAAATGGATGAAACGAAGCAAACCTTGCTGAGAGAAAAGAGACTTACTCGGGGCATAGGTCGCCGATTTGAAGAGGTCCTTGTTCACAATCTTCGGTGAGACGATCTCCTTCATGAGAAAGGTGTTGTGGAACCTCTCGGCTGAAGCCCCGGTGTTGAAGGCGAGTCCGGTTTGGATGTGGATGTACTTGCTCCCTTCACGACGCCATGGCCTCTCACCTTCTTCTACCGCCGATTCTTGACGCGATGAAGCGTTCTTGCACCTTGGCATCTTCCCTCTTTGAAATTGACAAAATTTGGTGAGATTTGGTGATGAAATTGTTGAGGAAAAACGGAGATGGAGTTGAAAGAGGAGGCTAGGGTTTCGCACGGACTCTGTAAAATTGAGATGGAGTTGAAGACGAAAGCACTGTCTAATTATAAAGAGAAGCAAAAAAAGTCGAATATTAATCGATTAAAAAGGATGATTTAATCGATTAAGGAACACAGCCGAGGCCAATCGATTAAATTAAACTAATTAATCGATTAGAAGTGGAGCAGAACCAAAACGTTTGCGCTTCAGGCTATTAATCGATTAAACAAATATGGTTAATCGATTAAGATGGACAGACGGCTCTAATCGATTTCTCTATGAGGAGTAATCGATTAAAAACAGTTTGGCAGGAAAGAAAACATTAAGTCCAATTTGGTTGAATGCCAAGGGAAGAGATAGCTGAAATAAAAGCCCTGCAAAAAAGAATTTATCGCGCCTCCGACACTCAAATTAGTATAGTCAATAAAAAGAATGGATTAGTTCATAGAGAAATCCAAAATGCCAAGTTCGTTCCGAATGTGGAAGAAACTCTCCCTACTCAGGGGTTTTGTGAAAATGTCCGCCAATTGATGATTCATTCCAACAAACTCAATTGTGACATCTCCCTTTTAGACGTGATCTCATATGAAGTGATGCCTAATTTCTATGTGTTTAGTCCTCGAGTGAAGAACGGGGTTCTTCGTTAGACTAATAGCGCTCATATTGTCACACCTAATAGGGATGTGATCAAGTATAAGGCCGAAATCCACTAGTTGTTGTTTTAGCCAAAGAATTTGGAAACAACAACTTCCCGCAGCGACATATTCCGCTTCGGTGGTGGGGAGTGCAACACTAACCTGTTTCTTACTAAACCACGAGATTAACGAATGACCGAATAAGTGGGAAGTACCACTGGTACTTTTCCTATCGAGTTTGCAACTAGCAAAATCCGAGTCGGAATAGCCAACAAGATGACATTTTGAACCTTTGGGATACCAAAGACCTACGTTCAACGTGCCCGCGAGATATCGCATTATCCTTTTGATCGCAACCAAGTGCGACTCTTTAGGACACGATTGATACCTAGCGCATATACAAACGGAGTACATGATATCCGGTCTACTCGCGGTAAGATAAGGTAAAGAGCCGATCATACCCCAGTAGCGCTTGATGTCTACCTCTTTACCTTTTTCGTCCTTGTCGAGATAGCAAGAGGTGCTCATTAGTGTGTCCATGGATTTGGATTCGGTAACATCAAATCTTTTAAGCAATTCCCTGCAATATTTCATTTGACACACGAATGTTCCTTCTTTGCATTGTCTAATTTGCAGCCCAAGGAAGAACTTTAATTCTCCCATCATCGACATTTCAAATTCACTTTGCATCATATCGGAAAAATCCATGCACAAAACCTCGTTAGTAGCACCGAATATGATATCATCTACGTAAACTTGAACCAAAAGGATGTCTTGGTTATCTCTTTTGATAAAAAGAGTAGTGTCGACTTGACCCCGTTTGAACTCATGGTCCAAAAGAAATTTGCTTAACCGTTCATACCAAACACGAGGTGCTTGTTTGAGACCGTAAAGCGCCTTTTTGAGTTTGAAGACATGTTCGGGAAACTCACAGTCTTTGAAACCCAGGGGTTGTTCGACATACACTGTTAGACAAGTGTGCAACTCTAGAGGGGGGGGGGGTGAATAGAGTTGTTTTCAAGAATGTGCGTTTTTCGCGTGTGTGAAATAATAAAATCGCACGAATAAAATAAGCTTATTAATCGATTAGAAGTGAAGCAGAACCAAACGTTTGCGTTTCAAGCTATTAATCGATTAAACAGAGATGGTTAATCGATTAAGATGGACAGATGAATCTAATCGATTAATTGAACAAAATTAATCGATTAAAAGTGAATCGGTGCTAAAGAAGTTTTCGGATTTTAATCGATTAACAAAAGTCCAGTAATCGATTAATAGGGACAGAGGCGACTAATCGATTTCTCTTCGAGGAGTAATCGATTAAAACTTGTTTGACAGAAAAAAAATCATCAAGTCCAATTCGGTTGAATACCAAGGGAAGAGATACCTGCAAAAAAAGAGTTTATCGCGCCTCCGACGCTCAAATTAGTATAGTCAATAAAAAGAATGGATTAGTTCATAGAGATATCCAAAATGCCAAAATCGTTCCGAATGTGGAAGAAACTCTCCCTACTAAGGGGTTTCGTGAAAATGTCTGCCAATTGATGTTTCATTTCAACAAACTCAATTGTGACATCTCCCTTTTGGACGTGATCTCGTATGAAGTGATGCCTAATTTCTATGCGCTTCGTCCACGAGTGAAGAACGGGGTTCTTCGTTAGACTAATAGCGCTCATATTGTCACACCTAATTGGGATGTGATCAAGTATAAGGCCGAAATCCACTAGTTGCTGTTTTAGCCAAAGAATTTGGGCACAACAACTTCCCGCAGCGACATATTCCGCTTCGGTGGTGGGGAGTGCAACACTAACCTGATTCTTACTAAACCACGAGATTAACGAATGACCGAATAAGTGGGAACTAGCAAAATCCGAGTCGGAATAGCCAACAAGATGACATTTTGAACCTTTGGGATACCAAAGACCTACGTTCAACGTGCCCGCGAGATATCGCATTATCCTTTTGATCGCAACTAAGTGCGACTCTTTAGGACATTATTGATACCTAGGGCATATACAAACGGAGTACATGATATCCGGTCTACTCGCGGTAAGATAAAGTAAAGATCCGATCATACCTCGGTAGCGCTTGGTGTCTACCTCTTTACCTTTTTCGTCCTTGTCGAGATAGCAAGAGGTGCTCATTGGTGTGTCAATGGATTTGGATTCGGTAACATCGAATCTTTTAAGCAATTCCCTACAATATTTCGTTTGACACACGAAGTTTCCTTGTTTGCATTGTCTAATTTGCAGCCCAAGGAAGAACTTTAATTCTCCCATCATCGACATTTCAAATTCACTTTGCATCATATCGGATAATTCCCTGCACAAAACCTCGTTAAGAGCACCGAATATGATATCATCTACGTAAACTTGAACCAAAAGGATGTCTTGGTTATCTTTCTTGATAAAAAGAGTAGTGTCGACTTGACCACGTTTGAACTCATGCTCCAAAAGAAATTTGCTTAGCCGTTCATACCAAGCACGAGGTGCTTGTTTGAGACCGTAAAGCGCCTTTTTGAGTTTGAAGACATGTTCGGGAAACTCATAGTCTTCGAAACCCGGGGGTTGTTCGACATACACTTCGTCTTGAATGATACCATTAAGGAAGGCACTTTTAACATCTATTTGATAAAGTTTAAAATCCATCGTAGATGCAAATGTAAGTAATAGACGAATAGCTTCTAAACGTGCAACCGGTGCATAAGTTTCTTCATAATCAATGCCTTCTTCTTGATTGTAGCCTTTAGCTACAAGCCTAGCTTTGTTTCTAGTGATTACTCCATTTTCATCGAGTTTGTTACGAAACACCCATTTTGTGCCAATAACGGAATGATCATTAGGTCTAGGCACCAATTCCCAAACATCATTGTGTTTAAATTGGTTAAGCTCCTCTTGCA